TTATTCTGTTTTCTGAGGGGGAAAAAGACAAGACAAGAAAATACTAAGGTTTGAGTCAGTCACACCTTCGTTTGTTTTTCTCTCTCTTTTTTTTATGTCACATGGGTAGTGTGCCTATGTCGTAATAAGGTTTAACGGGTGGCACATGTCATACAGAACTATGAACTCCCAATCATCATGCTTATGAACCACAAAAAGATCCAGTCACAACTTAGTTTTTAAAGTGCCATCCTTGTTCTTTGACACTTGAGGCATTTGACAGAACATTTGCCCCATTACAAATAACAACAGGAAAACAATCCATGTATAAGTGGACCTTCAAAGTTCAAACTCGTATTATTCAACGGCCAACTGTAGATCTCTAGGTCTTTCTTCCAAATTTGTCTTAGTCTGAAACCTTTGCTGAAACCTCCTTAATATACTAGCAACATATAAGCTTCTCCTGACAAGTGGATAGTGGTTGATTTGAGGAACAATGGCCGGGAATATTGAGTCTGAGTCTTCTGCATGGTAGGTGGAAATTCTTCACTGAACCCCTGCTGCCCCAAACAGCCTCTCTCTAGGCTCCTTTCTTTACACTGAAGGTACACTGACCTCTTATCTTATGGGGTAGCCTTAAGGTCAGAACTTAGGGAGAAAGTTGCACACCAGAATTACTTTTGACAATTCATTTTAAATGTTCAATAAAAAAGAAAAAGTTACTGAGACCAGAAGAGGTAGATGCTGCCCAACTACCACTGCGGATCAAATAGAATCATAATAGAAGGTTCCTGATAAAGTGGGAAGAAAATATGTAACAAAGTAAAGCTTAAAATTAGGGGGGAAAGGCTGGGCTTATTGTGCTGATAGAGCCTGGTGGAACCTAGGGTTACAGCTTTTAATCAGTCTTCAAGGCTGGAACTAAACTTACTTCTGCAGCTCAACTTCCAGTCAAACAGTACGCCAAAAATGAAACCCACTGCTGTTGAGCCAGATCTTACTCATAGCAACCTTCCATCAGGCTTCTGAGACTGTAAATATTTACATGAGGAGACCTCCCAGCGTTTCCTGTCAAGTGACTAGTCCATTACACAACACACTACATGAACATGGCTCCTTAACCAAGCAAATGGGCCCACAAAGTGATCAGTAACACCAGAGAGGATGTGTTCCTTAGCAAAATTCCACACTACATCAAAAGGGCTATATTTACTGAGCAGCAAAAATCAGAAGGCAGGAAGGGATAGAAAAGACAGACAAACAGAAATGGGAAACACATGAAGAATTAGCAATAGTGCTGTTACATTGTGGGGATTACAATCAATGTCATGAAACATATCATGTATGAATTGTTTAATGGAAAATCACTTTACTCTGTAAACTTTCACCCAAATCACAATGAAAAACAAAAGGGGGGGAAAAAGATATAAAATTAGTACTGTGGAAGATTTAGAGAAGGCCAGTTTCATCAAGTACCAACACTGAATAGTCCATAAAGGAGGTGATTGGCTTGAGAGTAAGAGCCACTGCTGAATAAATCTAATCATAGTCTACTAAACAAAATGGATTGACACAGTGGTTATAACAATGGTTTCAAGCATATCATAGATGATTGAGACAGGGCAAGGCTCAGATCTATTGTTCATGGTGACATGGTGAGTCCCAGTTCACTTGATGGCACCTAACAATAGCTGGGCTAAATATATGTATCTTAGAGTTGGACAATGAATAAGGAACATGGAAGAGGAACTGATGCCTTTGAATTGTGGTTTTAGTGAAGAATATTTAATATACTATGGACACTAAAAGAATGAACAAATCTTTCTTGGAAGAAATGGAGTTAGAATACTCCATCTCATGTACTTTGGACATGTTATCAGGAGGGACCAGTTTCTGGAGAAGAATCATGCTTGGTAGAGCAAAAGTGAGCAAAAAAGGAAGACTCTCCATGGTTTGGATTGACAAAATTAAAGCAATTGGTAGTTCCAATGCACAGAAGAAATTGTGAAGATGACACAGGACTTGGCACTGTTTTCTTCTAATTGCTATGATTTGAAACCAGCTTGATCGCATCTAGCAAAAACCTAAAGGCATAGTGGATTACATTTTTGAGCTGCTAATCAGAAGATCAGCAGTTCAAATCCACTAGCCTCTTTTTGGGAGAAATTTTGGGAAATCTGCCTCTATTAAAATCTACAATCTCAGAAACCTGATGAAGTATCATAATTAATCCAAATCTACTCAATGGCACAAGGTTTGATATTGTCTTGGAACTGTGGCTTGAATGAACATTTACAGAACAAATAGGCTTTCCATTCACCAATTCACTCATATTTTATTTTGGACATTGATTGCTGTTCCTTCAATGGCTAAGGACTTTTCCTGCTTCTTCGCTATGTTTTCTGTTTCTGTTTGTCTTTCTTTCCTAGCCCTGTCTGACATCTGAGCTTTATCTTTAAGTAAATGTTGCTCTTTCTTGTTCTCATATAACTGGTTGTTCTAGAAGTCCATGGTTTTTCCCCCTTCTTTTTTCTTTCTTGATACCTCCCCCATATTTTTCTAATGCTGTTTATTACCTCATTAACTTATCCACTACTTGATTGAAAGTTGATTTCCAGGCATAAATTCAATTCTAGGCTTGAAAATTATGTCCTGGACTAAATAATTATCTTACTTCCTTGTTCTTCAATTAAAGTACTTGAATGAGCCTAACTTAAAGTGGTATGTGGTGCTACCTCTGATACAACCAAACCAACCTATACCACTGCTGTGGAGCCAGTTCCAACTTAGGACACCTCCATCAGGTGTAGAGATGGTTTCATCTTTCTCCCAAAGAGCAGTTGGTGGGTTCAAACCATTGATCTTTCAATTAACTACACAACACAACACTACACATCAACATTACATGGAATATCTTCTTAAAAAATACGTACCTTTGGGAGCTCTGGTGGCCTAGTGGCAAAGAACTGCAACTACAATCCCAGAGGCACATGGTTCGAACCCACCAGATGCTCTGCCGGGGAAGGAGGGACAATCTCCTCCTGTACCAGTCAGATCTGATTTGACAGTACACACACACACACACAAATAATTAAAAAATACGTAACTTCATAAAGCTAAAAAGAATCATGGTATGAGTAAAACTAGTACAGAGCCAAAATTATGATGGCAATACCCTGAAGTATAGAAATAAAGTGATAAGAGCCCACATTCCACTTAGAGCAGCTGTCATTTTTATTAGGAACATGAGAGGTTGTGGTGCTTACGTGGTGTGAGAGGTTTTCATACACTTTTGTGATGTCATAGCATTATTTTTTGGCTTTAGGTCTTTGGTCTCTGCTCTCTAACTGAATAAACTAACTGTTTGCCAGCCCTGCAAACAAGTCGATCACCCCTTACGGTGACCGTGCAGAACAGAGTAAAACTTCCCTTGTGGCGTTTCCAAGATGAAAACCTTTTTTCAAATCAGATTACCAAATCTCTCTCTCTTGGAGTAGCTAGAGTTTTCAAACTTGTCCGCAGTCCAGCACTCAGTGAGTGTTCTGAGTCACGAGGGCTACAGTCACTGGATACGCGATACTTTTCCCCCCTCAATCTTCTACTCTCTTTTTTATTGTGCAATCAGATAATATGTTTTGGATTCTCTCATAAATAAGATACTGTACTTCCTAGTTTTGCTTAGGGTCATTTCAAACCCAAACTGCCTGTTGTCGACCCAGTTCCAACTAATTGCAATTCTCTATCAGGTCTCTAAGCCAATGGGCAACTGGTGGGTTAGAACTGCCAGCCTTTGGATTAGTAGCCCAACACATAATACACAGTCTTTTATGGGGGACAGATATACCTATACCTTTTGACATTACATTGTTCACTAGAGTAACTAGAGTAGCTCTTAAATACATAGAAAGTGGCAAATTCAAATTCACATGTTCTGATATTAATCCAAATTTTTGTTTACCTTTAAGACTTCAGGAGATGGTTTGTTTTTTCAGGTTTTTTTTTTTAATTAAGATTTAAACCAGGGAACTTATTCTAGGGGTTCCTCCACCCCTAAAAACTTAAAAACACGGTTTACTCTGTTCCTAGGGTCACTGTGAGTGGCAATCAACTTGATAGCAGTGGGCTGGCGGAGGGTTAGTCAGTTCAGTTAGAAAAGAGGTCAAATACCTAAAGCCAAAAAAAAAAAAAAAAGTTCACAACATCACAAAAGTGTATGAAAAATTTCACATTTTGTGAGCTTTCAATGTTCTTAGCAAAAATGATGGCTGGTCACAAGAAAAATAAAATAACTCCAGAAAGTTAGAATCCATGAGTTCTTAAAATCTGTTTACAAACCCCACTTTATCATTAGGATTCTTCACAAGAATCTTTGACCAAAATATTCTTTGATGGTACCTGGGCAACACCCAGTCCTTCTGACCTGATGGCAGAGGAGGCGCTTGTTCACTGACGCAGTTAGCCATGGATACTCTAGCCTCCTTTTCCTAGCTCTCCTCTCAGTCTGTTTCTGCTGCTTAGCACTGCCCAAGACTTCTCCTAGTGGAAGCAGTCAGAGCTCTACCCACAGAAGTTAATGCCCTCAACAGCTTTTGCCCATCTTTGCTTTCAGTTAATATTGATGCAAAGTCCAAGTTTGGAAACACTCTGGAAATACTGCAGGAGAAAATTGGCAGCCTCCAGAAGTTCAAGATGAAGGTCAGTGCTTTGAACGCTTTAGGGACTGGCTTGAGATGAACTATTGGGCAACTTCATGAACTCAACTGTATGCAGTGTCCAATCCCTGAGAAAGAGCCTTGAGGAGTGAGTGGGGCCAAAGAAGCAGATGCAGTGACTTTGGAGGGAAGGTAACTAGTGCAGAATCCCCATAGGATAAATACTCTGAGAGCCTTAGTTGGCTGTTGAGATGAAGCACCTGATCTGCTCCCTCCTCTGTGGTCACAGCCCTGGCTTTTATGCTCTTCTGGTCACAGTGACCTCAGAAACCATATGCTGATAGACAAAGAACTATTATGCCCATGACCATGCTTGGTAGATGACACTTGTGCATTGTTATAGTATACACTACAAATACATCCATATAAGAAACAGACCAACAGGAGACAATGCTGTGTAAGCTTCTTAATTATGTCCAGATACCCTAAGGAATTACATTGCGGTTATGGGGTATTGAGACCATAAATTGGGGTACATCAGTGTAAACTGGCATAACATAGAACACAAAGACATTTTTCTACATTCTACTTTAGAATAGCAACTGGGATCTTCAAAGCTTTGAGCAGCCATTTAAAGGGTAACTATTGGTCCCTCACTGGACACAATAAAAAAGGAAGAAAGACAAAGACGTACTGCACCGATTGGTTCAAAGAGTTTTTAGGTGCCATGGAATTGATGATAACTCAATTCATAGCTACCCTATGAGCAACAGATATGGAGTTGCCCTGTCCTGCGCAAAGCTCACCATCTCTGATAAACCCTTTCTTAAAATTACTGTATCAATCCATCTTGTTGGGAGTCTTCCTCTCTTTCTCTGATCCTTCACCTTTCCCAGCATGATGTCCTTTTCCAAGGACTGGTTCCTCCTAACAGCTTGCCCAAAGTATGTAAGAAAGTTTGATCATCCTTGCCTCTAAGGAGCACGCTTATTGCATTTTCTCCACAGCAACAGTAGTTAGTTCTTTCGGTAATCCATGGGACATTTCATACTCTTCTCCAAAACCATAATTCAAAGACATCAATTCTTCTGTCATCTTTACACATTGTCTAACATCCAGATGCATAGAAAGGAATTGAAAAATACCATGATTTGGATCATACACTTCTTCTTCTTCTTCTTCTTCTTCTTTTTTTATTGCAGATTTTGTGTTAGCAAATTTTTTTATTGGCTAATTTTTGGGTTTTTTTAATTGATATTTTAATGAAAGTTTATAAAGAACTTGGGTTTCCAATCATTTATTGTTGCACATTTTCCTCCCTGCCCCCCCTACCCCAAGATCAATTTTTTCCTTGGGGAAAAAAGTTCTTTCATTGTAATACAGTCCCCCACCTCCACCCCAGATCACTTTACTATGCAGTTCTTATTCTGGATTCTTGTTATGACAGTAATACCTAATCATATAGCACATCTTTTGATTCCTTGACTGTTATTACAATGGGTGTGGATTTAAATATTTTATCTATCCTAATTTTGCCTGTTGGTCCAGTGGTAAGAATGTTTGGTTTCTTTATGTGAGTTGTAATCCATTTGAAGGCTATATAGCCTTTGATCTTCTGCAGCAAGTGTTTCAAGTTCTCCTCATTTTCCGAAAACAAGATTGTAACAGCTGCATAATACAGGTTGTTGATAATTCTTCCTCCACACCTGCCTCGGCCTTGCTTTTATTACTTCTGTTGAGCTTCTCCTCCAGTCCTTTTCCACAGATTTAGTCATGCTGACCCTGTTGTAGCCCATTAGGTGAGACCCAAGTGTTTTTAAAAATATTCATGACAAAAAAAAGATATTTGTAATGAATAAATCATTGATTCTATAAAATTCAATCTTTCAATTTCCAGCATCATTTTTATCATCAAGCCCTTGTCTTATTCTTTATTTCCAACTTATACATTCCAGTCATCAATTATTATTAATGCTCCTTGGTTGCATGTTCGATCTATTTCAGACTGTAAAGTGGGTAGAAGTCCTTCATTTCTTCATCTTTGATTTTAGTAGTTAGTGTGTTTATTTGAGTAACAATTGTACTAACTGACCTTCTTTGTATGAGTGTGGATAGTGTCCTTTCTCTCCCAGCATTGTACTTCAGGATCGATCTTGAAATGTTCTTTGACTAATTGAGGAAAAACTCCATTTTTTACATTACTTTTTTAATTGGTTTGCTTACAAAGTTTATATATATTGTGTTTCACACTATTCTTCATTCACATTGAACAATAGAATGGATGTATATGAATGATTGTATGAAATACAATGTAAATGAAAGATTGCATAAAACATGATGCATATGAATGAAACAAAATGCAAGAGAATTAATGTGTTAAAACCAATAAAAAATATTTCTTAAAAACCCTAATGGATCATTAAAACCTAAACTTCCAAGGCCCTGTGACCCAAACTAGTTGAAGCCCATCTACTGGTGCTGACCACTTTAAAAGGGGTCACATGAAAATCCTGGATGGACTGAGAGGAAAAGTGGACAAAATCATGAAAAGGCCAGTCTTCCTGGTGTGGTTGAGACTGGTGGAAACCCTGGTACAATCACCTTTCAAACTTGGAACGAAACTCAGCCTGTCACTCAGCTTTCAGCCAAACAATAGACAGGTCTCTCAGGTTACTGCTAACATCAGGGATCACTCACTCCTTAAAATAATAATACAAATTCAGAAGAGCAGCATTTTACAATAGATAGGTCTATAAATTTACTGCTAACATCAGGGAACACTCACTGCTTAAAATAATCAATAACATGAATTAGAAGACAGCATTTTTACAAGGTAAAGCCCAGAAGTCAGGAAGGCATAGAATAGAATTAATGGAGATGAAAATTACAAGGTAGAAGGGGAACAGTATGATTACTTTGTGTATAATAAATGTTATAAAACCAAATGTCTATAAATGAATAAATGGAAAACCAATTTGCTTTAGAAAATTTCATTCAAATATTAAGAAAATAATAATATTAAAAAGAAGCTGTATGTCCCTGTTATAGGAGGAGGAACTTGAACAAGTTTGGGGTGGCCAAATCCAGATGTTAAAGGACCACTACATCTTACTGGACAGGACTGTGGAGAAGCTCCAGATTCGCTTGGATGAGTACAAGGTGTGAAGTCTGGGGGAGTGGGGGGGGGCTGGAGAGTCATACAAGAGTTACTGAGGGGGAGCTTTTCAGGACAGAACCTCAGAAGGTGAGAATGCACTGCATGGTGGTATTAACCTACATGAAAACTGTACTTCCCACAGCCTCCATCTATCAATGTGCTGTATTGTTGTGATTTGCATGCTGCTGGAATCTATACCACCAGCACTTGAAATACTATTAGGGCTCCCCATAGTGGACAAGTTTCAGTAAAACTAAAACAGATTAGGAAAAAAGGTCTGGTGATCTATTGCTGAAAACTAGTCAATCAACAAGTAATATTCACAACAAAATATGGCCCAACATAGTGCTGGAATCTGAGTTTCCCAGGTTACAAAACCAAAAGTAAAACCATTGCTATCAAGTCAATGCTGACCCATACAGGCCCCATGGTCAGGAGAACTGTCCCATGGAGTGTCCACGGATGGTCATCTGCATGCAATCCAGCTGTCTCATTTCTCTGCCACTGGTGACTCCAAACCACCAATGTTTTGGTTAAAAGACAAATGGGGTGTTTTTTGCTCTCTCATAAAATTATTTTATTGTGATCTGAGTTTACAAAGACTATTAGTTTTTTAATCTTTCACACACATTTTTTTCATAACGTTAATACCCATATGTCTGATCATCCATTCATTTCATATGTCTTTTCCCTTCATCTATATTAATAAATATTCATATTTTATTCATTAACTTTTTATTCCCCCCCCCTTCACTTCCTTGGTAACCTTTCTAGTATGACTCTCTCTATATGTAAATCTTTCTCTTTTTCTGTCAATTCATTTCTTTTTTAATTTTTTTTTATTTATTTTTTCATTTTAATGAACGTTTACAGAGACTTTGGATTTCCATTCATTCATTGTTGCATATTTCTACCGCTCCACTCCTCCCCACCCAATTCACTCTTCTCTTTGAAAAGTAAAAGAAAAATTATTTCATTGTTATACAATCACTTCCCCCAAGTCCTACATACCTAATCATATATTGCTTTTAAACAGGTCTCTCCCTCATCTGTCTCAATGCAATATACATTATATATCCCCTCTTTCTCAGAGTCCCTTCAACCCTGATGTCAGTCCAGTTTTAGAACAGTGGCACTATATTTGTCCTTTTGTGACTGAGATATTTCCCTCAGTATAATGTCTTCCAGGGTCATCCATTTTGTATAAAATTTCATGATTTCTTTGTTTTTCAATGCAGCATACTATTCCATTGTGTGAATATACCAAAGCTTCTCTATCCATTTGTTTGTTGATGGACACTTAGGTTGTTTCCAACTCTTTATTGTGAACAGAGCAGCAATAAACATGGGTGTGCATATATCTGTTTGGGTGGCAGTTATGGCTTCTTTAGGGCATATTCCCAGTAGTGGAATGGCTGGATCAAATGGTATTTCTATTTCCAACTTTTTGAGAAAGCGTCATATTGCTTACCATGGTGGTTGCACCACTTGACACTCCCGCCAACAGTGAATAAGGGTTCCAGTTTCTCCATAACCTCGTTAGCATTTGTTGTTTGCTGCTCCGTTAAATTTTGCTATTCTAACTGGGGTGAGATGATATCTTATAGTTGTTTCGATTTCCATCTCTCTTAGAGCTAGGGATTTTCAACATTTCTTCACATGTTTGTTTGCCATCTGAATGTTTTCTTTGGTGAAGTGTCTGTTCATATCCTGTGCCCATTTTTCAAGTGGGTTATTTACATTTATCTTGTTGTGGTGCTCGAGTATTTTATAAATTCTAAATATAAGACCCTTATTTGACGTGTCATTACCAAATATTTTTTTCCCAGTCTGTGGCTTCCCTTTTTACCCTGGTAGAGAAGTTTTTGGATGTGCATAGAGATTTGATTCTTAGAAGGTCTCAGTCATCTATTTTATCCTCTTCTGGCTGTAGATTTTCCAGGATGCTTGGAAGACTGCTTAAGTTGTGGATTAGGACTTCTAGAGTTCTTCTAAATGTTTCTTTAATGAAGCTTATAGTCCTTGGTTTTAGCCATAGGTCCATAATACATTTTTAGTTGGGTTTTGTGTATGGAGTGGGGTATGGATCTTGCTTGAGTTTACTACAGATAGTTTTCCAATTTTCCCAGCACCATTTATTAAAAAGACTGTCATTTCCCCACTTCACTGATTTCATCTCCTTGTCAAAAATCAGTTGACCATAAGTAGAAAGACTGATTTCTGGATTCTCAATTCTATTTCATTGATCTATGTGTCTTCATTGTACGAGTACCACGCTGTCTTGACCACCACAGCAGTGTAGTAGAATTTGAAATCAGGGAGTGAGATGGATGCCTCCTACCTTGTTTCTCTTTTTAAGGAGTGCTTTGCTTATTCGGGAACTCTTCCCATTCCAAATGAAATTGGAGATTGTCTTTTCCATCTCCTTGAAGAATGGGATTGGTATTTGTATTGGGATTGCATTGAACATGTAAATTGCCCTTGGTAGTACTTTCATTTTCACAATATTGAGTCTTCCTATCTATGAGCAAGGGATATTCTTCCACTTCTCCAGGTCTCTTTTTGTTTCTTGTAGTAATGTTTTGTAATTTTCTTTGAAAAGGTCCTTTGTGCTTCTGGTTAAATTTACTCCCAAGTATTTAATCTTGTGATTAGGTATTGTGAAAGGTACTGTTTTTCTTAGCTCCAGTTCTATATTCTCTTTGTCATTGTAGAGAAATCCAATTGATTTTTGTATGTTGATCTTGTATCCTGCCACTTTGCTAAATTGGTCAACTATGTCCAGTAGTTTTCTTGCTGAGTCTTTAGGATTTTCTAAGTATACTACCATCTGCATATAGAGATAATTTCACCTCCTCTTTGCCAATTTGGATATATCTTATTTCCTTCTCTTGCTTTATTGCTATCACTAAGACTTCCAATACCGTATTGAATAGGAGAAGTAAGAGTGGGCATCCTTGCCTAGTTCCTGTTCTTAAGGAGAATGCCTTTAATTTCTTTCCATTGAGAACAATGATGGCTCTCGGGTTTGTGTATATACTTTTTACTATGTTGAAGAAATTCACCTCTAATCCTATTTTGTTGGGTGTTTTAATCAGGAAAGGGTGTTGGATTTTATCAAAGGCTTTTTCTGCATCAATTGATAGGATCTTGTAATTCTTGTTCTTTGCTTTGTTAATGTGATGAATTACATTGATTGTTTTTCTTATGTTGAACCATCCTTGCATATCTGCTATGAATCCCACTTGGTCATGGTGAATTTTTTTTTTTATGTATCGTTGGATTCTATTTGCCTAGATTTTATTCAGGATTTTTGTGTCTATGTTCATGAGAGATATTGGCCTATAATTTTCTATTTTGGTGGTGTCTTTACCTGGCTTTGGTATCAAGAATATGTTTGCTTCATAGAATGAGTCTGGGAGAATTCCATTTTTTTTCCTATTTTTTTAAAAATAGTATATGTAGAGTTGGTGACAGTTCTTCTCTGAATGTTTGATAAAATTCACTTGTAAAACCATCTTGTCCAGGGCTTTTTTTTGGCTGGAAGTTGTTTTATTACCTTTTCAATTTCTTCTTTTGTAATGGGTCTGTTCAGGTATTCAATTTCAGTTGGTGTCAGGTAAATCTTTTTTAGATTTTTATGATAGCCATCCTATATAGTATTTGTCCTTTCAACTCGTTTCACTCAGGGCAGTATCCTCTGGATTCAGTCATCTATGTTCTACAATGGTGTTGGTCAAGGAAAAAGAAAAAAGGAATGGCAAGGGAGGGACACCAAGAATGGAGGAGAAAACAGAGAGTGTAAAGGCAGGGGGTGAACAGCTCAAAAAAATGAAGCACCGAATCCAGCTTCCCTGTGACTTTATTGAAAATTGCTAGGGAGGAAATCACAAAGAGAATTCTATGCAAAGGAAGCTAAGCTCTTTATATTGAAAACCTTAAGCTTGCCTCAGGATGGAGGGGTTAGCAAATGCAATCCAAGAATTGCAAAACCAGGGTAGCTCTGGTGGCCTAGTGGCAAGGAGCTGCAACTACAATCCCAGAGGCGCACAGTTCAAATCCACCAGATGCTCTGCCGGGGAAGGAGGGACAGTCTCCTCCTGTACCAGTCAGATCTGATTTGATGGTACACTCACACAAAAATAATAAAATAAAATAAAAAGAATTGAAAAACCGCCTAAAGGTCTGCCTTGGTGCTTGACCCCTGTGACCTGTCTCAGGGGAAATTCCAGCTTATATCTGAGCCTTCCTCATATCCTGATATAGCATTATGTTTATCATTAATATTTAGCTTGAAATTTGGCTTCCTACAATATAATACTTCAAAAATTCTTCATTCTCTTTGTTCTATGCTTTACATTTTTTCTTTTCTACAACATGGCTGCATAATATGAGGCTGAAAACAATTCATGTTTTAAAAATTTGTTTTAGAAGTAAACCAGAATAAAATTTTTTTTAAATTGTTTTAGTGTTTCTAGATTATTACATGCAAATGACCAAACAATGATTTGGCATTTTTGAGATTTTGAAACTAAACAGACACTTACATGAAGGAAAACATACCTTTCTGGGATATCCACATTTAAACTAGATGCCTCAATACATAGCATGTGTAAAGAAGTTAGTTAGTGATCAAACTGTGAAAGTAGTAAATAGGTTTAAAGACATGGAATTGGGGTTATTTAGCTTACTCATAAAGTAAGGTTAACCTTCAAAACTTAGGCTAAAGTATATAAAAAATATTAGTACAACAACAAGATCAAGTAAATCCTTGAACAGTATAGTGGTCAATACATAAATTTAAAGTAAACAAAAAATGTTGGTACAAAAAGCAATAATCCAAAGGTGTTTCCACACAGAAGGTTTCATTTGGTTACCTATACCTCATATTTATTGTCTCAGACTCCATGAATATGAATAGATGACTACAACCTTCTTTGAGACAATGAACAAATGAATGAATGTTTTAAAAATACATTCAGGGTAGGAAAACATCCAGTGG